GCTTCCCTAATATCGGAAGGAAGAGCGTTCCAGACGGCCGCAGAAGCGCGCGATGGAGTGGTGGCCGTCTTTGTTCGATGGTTCGCCACCACTGCCAATGCAGTATCACCAACTAATTTGTTTCAGGTTGAAAACGGATCGCCGCCGAGTGAGGCGAGCTGAACATGCGGCAGATTTTCTCAAGGTGGCGATCTTGTACAGTCTTTTTTTTACCTTCAGAAACCAAGTTTTAAACGTTTTAATACACATCATGGTTGGGTCTCAAAATGGCCAAAATTTTAATATTTTATTTCACGATTTATTTTGAAAGTCGAGCGATGTTTGACAATATTCACATTTGGTGTCGTGTGCACATTTGTAAACTACAGGTGTAAACTACAATTGAAAAGCCCATGATTAGCTTAACTCTGACATCTTAAGTTTTCAAATTAAGGATTTTTAGGTAGTTTTAATATAATTTATTTGCCATCTTTGCGCGTTATTTTTTTATAATAGCGTATTTTTGTTTGAGAGCTTGCGAGAAAAAATATAAAACTGTCAGAGTGGCGGGCAGCAGTTAACCCGCTGTGCTATGAACAAAGTGAGCCGAGTTCGATTCCCGGCTATAGCTGACAAGTGGCAAGTGATGTGAGAGTCGGTCCTGCCCCTTTCACCAACCTGTACTGCTCGGCATGGCGAGATACAACAACAATGTCTGACATAGCATGGCGAGGCCTTCGTCCATTGCTGGATTGAGAATGGCTGAATAATTTTTTTTGGGTATTTTCTTAACGGAATTTAAAGAACAAAGGGAATCTAAGTCTCCTGTTTGTTTGCATGTTGTCTACTGGTAATGTAATGCACTGCGGCAATACCACAAAATTGGTGCGTCATCTCCAAATTTGTGGCAGTGACAATGACATCCCGAGGCCACCGTTCATATAAGTAGGCTAGTCTTCGCTCGTGTTTGTGGCCAATTTATAATTTGCCCACACGTGCCAGAGTTGCTCTTTCTGAGTAAGTAGCCATGGATAAAGACCCTTGTGCTGGGCTGGGAGATATTCTTGTGGGCCAAATCTGTTGCGAGGAAATTATGCCATTTGGGTCATGGTGCTGATAATGATACTAGACAAAGTAAAATGTGCAGTCCTGCAATTTGTTGCTGAGCGCAACTGCTCCAATGCTCCCGAGAGCCTCCATACAAAGGGAATTTTGGCTTTCTCTTCCACATTGGCCCAAACGTCTCGAAAGACGTGGGAATACTCACTATTAATCCCATAGCAGGCGACCACTCTTCAACTAACTGTGGTCTATGCATTCATACTGCTGGGTGTAAATAGATGAAATCCGACTGCCAATTCTGCTTAGCATTAAATCACGGCAGCATCCCACTTATATGCAGGCGGTCATCAGACCTCCGCCAGGTTGCGTTCCGAAATGACGCAAGTCGAGACCGATTTTGTCAGCGTAACGATGATTTAATGGGGGGCTTACGTTCCTGACCAAGGCTTCCGATATGCAACTGGTTTTTTTTTATAGATACGAATACAAACTACCAAATCGCATGAACTAAATCAACACCAACAACAAAATCTATAATAATGCACAGAGGTTTAGCACCGGAGCGCCACGTTGGGCAATGCACCGTGAGTACATTTGTTTTGCGAGCAGAACCCACGCCTGGGTCCGGCGTCGTGCAATGAGCGCGGTCCGTTCCGCCGCCAGTAACAACGTGGGTGGCGGCATATGTCGACCTGCCCTAAGTGCGGATCGACGCAAGTCCAGGACCGCCTCTGCTTCTCCATCCCATTGATTCCTTGAATTTCCCTTAAACAGCTTAAACCCTTACGGCGTACGCGTCGGTGGCACATATCGAACGTTCATTATCCACTCCGAAGTGCATGCGCGATTCGACAACGAGGCACTTGCAGTGTCACTTGCAATTTTTTTTTTGCGCGCTCGGTCAGGGCTTTTGTTGTTCTGGCAAACAGAGCTCAACTCGACCCACGACCCTTCGCCCCCCCCCCCCCCTCGTGCTTCACCCGGACGATGGCGGTGGTGGTGGTGGCGGCTTGTTTTGATTTCGGCCAGAGCGCTCGACCACCCAACGCGCTCAAAATCGGTGTTACCGAGACGCGAGACCCTCAGGAAGCAGATGCCGAGTGCTGGGCGTGTGCGCCAGCCCCTGGCAATGGGCTCGCTTGTGTTTTTTTCACCCCGTGGCTCGGTCACGCTGGGCTGAAGGGGAACGCTGTTTCGGGGGGGGGGGCTTCCCCGTGGCGATGAGGGCTTGCCCAGTTGGTGTGCAAGTCTGCTCCGTACTGATGAACTGGTCGTAGCATTCTTGATTGGTTCTGCGAATTGTGCCAGCCAGTGGCTCATCACCACCGGCGAAGCATTGAATATCTGACATTTTAAGCGTTGGTTTTGACTTATTTATTGATACTCATGCTGTTAAAAAAATATTCTTCGTTATTTGCTGTGTTGTGTATGAAACGGTATCTTTTGTTTTTTTGAATTTTCATAATCGCAGCAAATTAGCAAGTAAGCACAAAGAGTCAATTGTGCCGAAGTGACGCACATATGTTGACCTGTGATGTGCATGTGCTCGGTTACTACTGTACAATGGAATGCTCACCTTGACAAAGAGGGTTTGTGTGAACAATTATGCCATGAGTCTTTAAAGTCAGAATTTTACATTGATGAATGCCAGTCTCGTGTTAATCTTGTAAAGGGATATACTCTCGTAAAATATGCTAATCAGCACGTGCAGTGTACATGATAGAGTATAGTGTCAGTCGCGCTGTAAAATCTGACGGCGTGAAATATTTTTTGTCGGCATTACCGTGACAGACCCCCCCTATTAAATCATTGGAGGTGTGACAGGTCGGACACGTTTGCATTATTTTGGTAAAATATTGACAAATGCGTTTTGGAAATTATTTATAACGTTGTCATTTGAGCATGCGCTACTTCTCAATAACTGCCAAAAAAAATCGTCGTTTACGGTCACCCCGCTTGTTTTATGGATTTCCTTTGTTGCTGGTAAACGCCTGTTTAGGGGCTTATGTTTGTCTTCATAGCTCACTTCTCAAAGGAAGGTAGAACAAGAGGGAGGCATGATTCTAGTCCTGTTTTTGCCAGGCAGGCTTCCACATGGGGTCGTTTACAAGTGATGAGCTCCACATCACCGATTAGAGAGGAATTTTTCACTGGATATGTTTTGCTGATTAATTTGCAACTGTTTCAACTAGAGATCCAGAGCTATTAAATTGCAGATAATTTTCTCGTGTAAATTGTGTGGTTTGTTTGTAATTTCACTTATTCGTTTTGCATTATTTTTCCCCCCAAAACGAGTTCAAAAATGTTTTCAATTGGGGGGGGGGGGGGGGTCCCACTTTAGATGGGTAGCCAATTTTTTTTCATGAATGCCTGAAGGAAATGCAACGCGTGATGGAAGAGGACTGACTTCAGTGTGGCACAGATACGTCAGAATTACAATTGTACGATTGCCTCCTGCGGCTGTCCCATTGTCCATTAGATGATTCCGTACACTGTGACGCCTTACACAGCAAGACTTTAACACGGCTTCTCGTCCATTAGCTGCCAATGAATTCAGCTTTAAGGAGACGAGAAACTGAGCTTTTGGATGGCTGCGATGGACATAAGTGATGGGGTTTCATTAGAAAGCAGTGTGTGTGTATTTAATGCTCAATGCATCATACATTTTGTACGTGGTTCTAGTTTGTGCTCATCGCATATGCATTGCATTGCAATAGAGCATGCATTTTACAACAGCATTGCCTTCCAATTAAGCGTACCACCATCTGCACATGATGTGAGATTTGAAAACCCATATCAGGGCAGTGACCCCATCTACAACGATAGCGATCAACGGCCACCACTAAACTGCAGTGGCCTCTCGATTTGACAAATGCATTCCAGTATAGAGGCTCTGCATCAAATGTATTTAGATCATTCAACAATATCTGTATAGCAATCAATCATATATTTGCAGGTCATTATATGCATTGAAACTTGATTTATGCATATATAGAGAGAGAGAGACGTTTTTCTATAACTAAATTCATTATTGATGCCGGTACTTTTTCATAGTTTTCAATACACGCCCTTTGAATTCTGGGCAACATTCGCAACGTGATTTTTGTGTTTCTTACGTGCGAGTTGTGACGCTCCCACTGCTCGGAGGTAACTGGAGCAAAGCCCAACAAGCATCGGTGAAGATATCCGCATGGACGAGGAGCAAACTCTCTATATTGGCCTCGAATAAACCGATAACAGCTGCTTTCGGGGCAAAATTGAACAGGCGTTTTGGTTATCTTGTGTCAGGGCCTTGTTGTGCATAAGTGAATTAAAATACAGTACAGTAGGGGCTAGGGGGGCAGTTGTGTGTCGTCTTTCATCTCCTGTGAAACAAGCTGCCTCGGTTTGATTTGCAATCATGGCTAACATCGGTGGCACATTACATCAACGGTTTCTGGGCCTCTATTCAATTCAGACACACACACTTCAACTCGGCATGGTGAAGATTGGTTCAATAACCCCGGTAAATAAAATAGCTTCTTGAGAATCATCTAGCAGTGGATTGACCAAGGGCTATATATTACTTTAAGATTATTTAATTGGTGGTTGAATGTGTATGCCATTATAAAAGTACATACATTTGAAAACTTGTATACTCACTGGTATCAACCCGACTTTTAAGTAATTCAAATTGCTTAGAAAGAACGTTATTCGATATGAAGACAATGAATGTAAGAGCGAATAATGGGCATAGCTAAGCAGGTAAACACATCTCGAGAAACTACTCTATCTATAATTGTGTCACGACTAAATCTTGGCCCATCTATTATATTTGTTTCGGTCTGGCAAGTGGATGGCAATAATTTATCATGAAACCGCCATTCAGCAGTGTAATGATGGTGGTAGTGTTGGTGCCGATGCCGATGATGGTGATGACGACGAATGCGGATGATTTTGTTTCGCCGTTTATACTGCAGACGACGAGGAGGGTGATGACGATGAAGAAGACAGGGAGGAGGAGGAGCAGGGCTGCCTGTGGAATCAGTTCCAGTGCGGTGGTGGGGCTTGTGTGCCACGCAGCTGGGTGTGCGACTGGGAAAGTGACTGCAGCGATGGCTCCGATGAGACCAGCTGCCGTGAGTCTGCACTGAACACCGCACCTGCACTCTATCATCAGCATCATCGGCAATGATGGATCCACTGCTGTCCCAAGGTCTACTGGCACGACTACCATCTCACATGGGTCCGACAATGTCACAATTCATCTCACTCCTGCACACGAGCCGATCTTTTTGCTCTAATCTCCACGCTGAATATTCTCTCTCGTAGACTTTCTACTTTGGCTGCAATTCCATCAACAGTTTTTGTATATCCTTCTCGTGGTGTGTCCTGCCCAAGCCTTCTTTGATTTCCTAAGCAGTCAATATTATTTCTCGAATTTGTGTTTTGCTCCTTGATCCATGTGTTGCTCTGTATGCCCCCTCATTGTTATTCTAAGCAAGTATCTCCCTATATTTTCTGACACTCGCTCCATTCATTTCACAGTCATTGTTTGATTATTCTCTGCAATTTGTCATTGCTGCTCCCAACACCGTACTGATGTACAAAATTATCATAAGTCCAAGCACTCAATTTTAAAAGGTAACAATAAATACACTTAATATGAATGCTTATCTATAGTTGTACCAAAAATGTGCAAATAATGTAAGTTTGAACAACTGTGCGTATTTAAGGCGGTGGTAAGCACATTTATATGAAGTAATTCCGCTACCCTTGATACGTCTCCCAGTGAAACTCATTATATTTGGATTTTTTTTGGTTCATTGGAAAAGTGCATGATCTCATCAGTGTTTTTTTTTCCAAGGACAAATGTGGCAATGTTTGAAAGTGTTGGTAGGCTGTTTTGTATATTTTGTTAAATACTGTGAAGCATAATGAGCACGGAATGGCTTAATAACACATAATGCTGTTTAGATTCCATAGCTATGGCCTACAGAATTGTACAACCATCAAGTTTACCAGGTACTTGATCTAATCTATGACGCTTGAACTCAGATATGTATTGTGCAAGTATTACACCCTAATTAGGGCTTGTCAGAAAATGTCAACATGGCTTTTTTAACTTTTAAAATTACAGCCCTGAATTAGAAAAAATACATCTAAATTCATACGGATTTCCAGTTCAAATGGTGAATGATATTAAAATGCACCATTTTACCTTTGTGAAAAATAAATCAAATCTTCTGTTGAGGGTTTGTCTTCCGCAGCCAATAGTTTTGCACAAGTTTTAGCAACGTTTACACAAATAGGAATAGACATTTAAAAGTTAAACCTTAAAAACAGTAGATCATTCTTAAACATTAATGTCTATACACTTTGATTCTTTCAGTAAAGTTACGTAGATAGAAAATTAATAGATCCCGACCTTGTTGTCTGTATATTTGGAGTTTCCATGTTCTCACAGTGGTCACGTGGATTTTTCTCCAGGTCCTCCGGTTTTCCCTTCAACATTTAGAAACATGCGCTTAGAGTATTTGACTGCTATAAATGTCTACATGATCAGCCACTTCGTTGAGCTTTCATTTGTGACCAGGCCCTTTCTGACAAAAAGCTATATAGCTCAGTGGGTCTTATCTGGTCCAATGAATAGTTAGTTTCGTATCATGATATCAGTTTCTGAGAAATGTGTACATTCAGTTTTATTGGATAGTTTCTGTTATTTTCTTGCTGCACTTACATTTTCAGTTATACTTTTCTCACATTTGCAATAATATATGCTCCATCGTAAAGATACAAACTTCTCTCCTGCTTATGCTGGTTAAGATAATGTTATGGTAACTCATGTGCAGGCATGGGAAAGTATATAAAAAAACTATCTTATCTGCATACATACTGTATTTCTGCTGCTGATCAAAATTCGTGAGCAAATAGACATTAGGCTCAAGCAAACTTTATACCAGCATGTTAAACTAGCCAGGCAATTACAATTTCTGGCAATGCAGGAGCTCTTCAAAGATTTTTCTGTTTGCTTAAAGTACGCACTGTATTGCTGTAACCGATTTACTTATAGATGTTGTATTCATTTTGTTCCTACAGTTGAAGGCATTGGGCCGTTTGAAACTGTTAGTTTTAGAGTTTGTGTAAACACAAACAGGTGTAGTAGGTTTAGCCTAGTGGTGTTCCAGCTCTGACTAATTTTTTTTATTTTACCAGGTAAGGCCCAATAATCTAAGTAGCTCTTTTTCAGCAACGACCTGGCCACAATCGGTAATTCAACGAAGTGGCTTATCATGTGGAAATTTATAGCAGTAGCCAAATACTCTAAACGCGTGTTTCTAAATGTTGAGGGAAACATCGGAGGACCTGGAGAAGAATCGACGCGAACACGGCTGCAGTTCCATAGGCAAGAATGTGATCAAGCTGACCTCATTATGTACAGAGTTTGCTCTAACGATTGCATGAAATAGAAAGGGGATTTTGTTTTAAAATTGTATGTATGTATATATTATCAATTCTGATAAGAAGCATGACTTTTGTTGTCATCTATTTATCATTTACTTCTACTTCTAAAAGTGCTTCATAGCAACCAACACTTTCTATTTTTTTGTATGAAAGAATTATCCCTTTACCTTGAAGTGCCTCCCGAATGGAGGGCAGTTTTGGAGGTGTGATAAAGGCTTCTATAGACGACCAGTGTATTTCAGTTGGCTTACAATGCACTGCGCTTCTGCCAGACAGTATTGGCATTGCTTGCGCCTTCATTCAGTGCGACACAATGAAGCAACTGGTAATATATAGGGAAATGCAATGTTCTATTTTTCACACGTTGCCTCCATTGGGAAAGCTTGCCTGCCACATAAGATGGACTTTACGCAATGAGTAATGACCCCAGATATGAATGGAAATTTTAATTCGGGACTCATTAATGTTTTTGCAGCCGCAAAGTGGTATTACTTTCGAATAGTAAATGTGGAATATTGAGGTTCTAGTGCTTTATTTATAGTGGCGGTATATAATTGGCTTATTTACATATCAGCTGTCTCATATGTGTGAGCATTTGCATGTGCTAATTAGCATAGTAATGCAACTAACAAGGTAATGGGCAAGGGGGTAGTTAGTCAATCTCGGTACAAGCAGGCTGTAGAGTGCTCTCCTTTGGCTTTCTTGACATCTTTAAAGGGATCTACTGCCACATTAATGTGATCACGGTTACTGTGACCAGGGTGGTTGCTATGCATATGGAATGCTGCTCAGCATTATGCAACAATTGGCTATTTTACAAAATCCTTTGGGTCACATAACATGTTGAAACTGCCTGTCGCATTTGACGAGCTCAGCTAATAATGATTTAAGTGAAGATTTAATAGATGCTCAAGGTAAGATTGATTTAGATGTTCATATTCGTTCATCTTTCCTGATTAGTCATCATGGCTTCGTCCTTGAAAATAGCCTCTTCCTTTTATTCAGAGGCATAACGTTGGGTAAAAAAATAAGACAGCTTTTTAAAGCATTATTATATTTTATATTATTTTGAATCATTCCCAAGTTGTCTAATGTTTTAATTCCCCCTTGTTTTTTTTTACATAATTGTATTTAATGGCCACTGCATGTTTTTTTCTCACTGTATATTTTCTAAGTTGTAATTGTTAGAAATAAAGATGAAAACATTGGAATGTCACAATTACTGATCGAATGCAGAGTGTGTATTTAGTAACGGGACTTGCATAACTTGAAGCAACATAATAAAATGGGAATATTTATTTATTTATCTCAACCACTGCTGTTTGGTTATTAAATGTTTCTCATTATTTTTTTTCATGTGCGTGTTGGCAGCCAAGTCACCTTCGATAATCCTCCAAAGTATGCAATTTTCCCCATTACTTGGTGCCAATCTTAAGAATATTTTTTTTTAAATAGGCACAACATTCCTAACCGAGGACATTAGTGTTTCCCTCAAGACGTCTACTCATCTACTCCCCTCAACAATTGCGGTTTTGTTCATTTGTTTTTTGTAAACATTTCTAATTACATCCCAAATTTACGAATTGGAAAGCTGCTGATGATTTTAAAAGGGGGCATGAAGGCACATTGGGGATGTCTGTTTTTATTTAATACTGAACCAACTGTTGAAATGTATGGCGGATAGAGAAAAACGTGTTTTTATAATATGAACAAATGCCATAAATAATTGCAATCACTGGTGTTTATAATTCCCGTGCTTACCCATCTACAAACATTGCTGGACATTGGCTCAGAGATTCCTTCATGAAACAACAAATTTGAAGGTGTGTTTGTTTCTCGATCTGAGTTTCCATTTAAGTTGCTCTTATCAAAATTAACATGAGGAATTCTGGGTGGTTCAGGCGAGAAATATTTTTTGAAAACATTGAGCCCAGCACCATTGAGAACCTGGGATTGAATCTGGGCAGCCACCCGTGATGACACCACCGGGTTCTCAAGTGAGTCAGTTGATGGTCACAGCCGAGTGATTATGATGGCACAAAAAAGCCCACGATGAACAAAACGACACCCATATCCTTTTTCACGGTTCAGCTCGGGCTTGGCTCTGCCATGACTCCTCTTCAGTTCCGTGGGTTTTTTTGTTTACTTCATCGAGTCTCCGGTTGTTGCGCGAATCCTTGTGAATGTTTTTTTTATATATTTTGGATATATCCCTTAGTTTGTGAGAGCTTGGACGACCGTATCAGTTTCCATTGAAGTCAATCACCTTGTCGTAGTCCATAACATCCACATGTAATTAACGACAAATGGGTGAATAACTTTATTTACCAAGGGACTATAATTTGTAAAGGAAGAGCGATCAACACAGTTTTTATAATACAGCATCACATATCTGACTCGCAGGAGCTGAGGCTAGAGGCGGATATGTGAACATCTTTAGAAAATGACAGTTACGCCCATGTGCAAATACTGCACTTGGTGTGGTGGTCAATCCGCTGGGGCGGACGTGTGATGGTCAGATGTGTGAAATTGTACTGCGGTCAGTAATTGAATGTGCAATAGCGTCAATACTTAACGATATTAAACCATTAATCCTATCATATGTACACATAATCGATTCCTGTATTTCAACTGCTAAAGCCTATAACCAATAAAACTCTCTCCCGTCTCCCTA